GAGACAGGGTTTCTCTGTGTAGCTTTGTGCCTTTCCTGGAACTCACTCTGTAGCCCAGGCTGGCCTCGAACTCACAGAGATCCACCTGGCTCTGCTTCCCAAGTGCTGGGATTAAAGTCGTGCGCCGCCAACACCGCCCGGCCTGGTCTCTTCTTAATCACCACTAATTTCTTAGTTCCAGCTAACCAGCATCAATTGTTAGGGCAAAGCAAAATAATATCACAAATATTAAATCAAATAAGGTAAAGATCTATATTTGCTTTTTTGTTGTTGTTGTTGTTGTTGTTTTGTTTTGTTTTCGAGACAGGGTTTCTCTGTGTAACTTTGGTGCCTTTCCTGGAACTCACTCTGTAGCCCAGGCTGGCCTCGAACTCACAGAGATCCGCCTGCCTCTGTATCCTGAGTGCTGGGATAAAAGGTGTGTGCCACTATCACCCGGCCCCTATATTTGCCTTTAATAAATAAATAAGAAAATGTTTTACTTTAGTGGTTCTGGTCTCTTGTTAACCACGGCTGATTAATTCTCCAGCTCCAGCTGACCAGAACCACAGATTCTTCACACAAAAGGCCCGTTGGAATCTTTGCTTCCCTCTGAAAACCTCACAGGCCAGGTCTCCACCGTCTGCCCTGTTCTCAACATTCCTATCTTCCAAGATCCTCAGAACATCCCACTGAGCTCTCAACACGCAATGGCTCTTCTAGCCCAAAGTTCCCAAGTCCCCACGATCCTCCCCCAAACAACATGGCCAGGTCTGTCACAGAAATACCCCACTAGGCTGGCACCAATTTCTGTCCTAGTCAGGATTACTATTAATGTGATGAAACACCATGACCAAAAAGCAACTTGGGGAGGAGAGGGTCTATTTCAGTTTATACTTCCATCACTGAGGAAAGTCAGGGCAGGAAGTCACACAGGGCAGGAACCTAGAGGCAGGAACTGGTGCAGAGGCCATGGAGGATGCCACTTACTGGTTTACCTCCCATGGCTTGCTCAGCCTGTTTTCTTATAGAACCCAGGACCAACAGCCCAGGGATGGCACCACCCACCATAGGCTGGGCCCTCCCCCATCAATCACTGATTAAGAAAATGCCCTACAGCTGGATCTTATGGAGGCATTTTCTCAATTGGGGCCTCCTTCTCTCAGATGATTCTATCCTGTGTCAAGTTGACATAAAATCAGCCAGCACGCTAGCTGAATAAATAATTTTTTTTTTTAAAGAAAGGGCTTTATGATGCAAGTCTGTAATCTTAGCACCCTGGAGAACAAGAAACTCAAGGTCAGATTGTCTTCAAGGCCAGCCAGAGATACATAAGATCCTGTCCAAAACAAATATGTTGGGAGAAATCAAAACTGTCCTTCCTGTCCTGCTAGTAAGGAAGAGCATGCAGACACTCTGGACAGAGGCCACGCTTTCCTCACGAAGGCAAACATAGCTCTTTTCCTTAGGACCCAGCAATCCCAGGCACATGCCCAAGAGAACTGGAAACGTCTGTCCACACAGCATTTCTACCTGAGTTTTCACAGAAGCATCATTTATCACAGCGAAAGGTGTTTCCATCAGCTGATGAGTGCACCCAACCATAGAATACGATTACACCTAGGAAAGAAAGGAATCCAGACACATTCCAGCGAAGGAATCTTGAAAACGCCAAGTGAAGGAAGGCAGGCACAAGCTCCATGTACTATGTACATGCACTATGTAATCCCATTCATAGGAAATATCTAGAGTAGCCAAATACATAGACACATTATAAAAATTAATGGTTGTGCAATTTCACAAGAAGTTTAAACTGGCCATTTAGTGCTTTTGAATATTGATAGAGGATCATTTCTTGGCTTAAAAATTGACTATAAAATTCTTTTTATTGAAAATAGATTTCCTCATACAATATATCCTGATTACAGTTTCCTCTCTCTCTACTTCTCCTGGTTCTTCTCCACCTCCCCTCCCATCCGGATCCACTCCATTTCTGTCTCTCCTTAGAAAAGAACAGGGTTTGTTTATGTGTGGTCTATGTGTGTATGAGAGTGTGCCTGCACGTGCACCCGTGTGAGCAGTGCTGGACTCCCAGAAGAGGGCTTCCAATACCCCAGAACTGGAGCTGCAGGTTGCCGTGAGCCCATGTGGGTGCTGGATCCTGAACTCAAGCCCTCTGCAGGAGCAGCAAGTGCCCTTAATAATGATCAATCTTTCCAGCCCAAGTACTTGAGGGTGAGCAAATGCTGTAGAATTAGATAATTACCATGGTAGCACAAACTTGCAAATGTACTAAACCCAGTGACTTATAGGGCTAAGAGGGTCAATGTTATGACAATTAAAAATACAAACATTTGGACGCTGGAGAGATGGCTCAGCGGTTAGGAGCACTGGCTGCTCTTCCTAGAGGTCCTGAGTTCAGTTCCCAGCAACTACATGGTGGCTCACAACCATCTGTAATGAGATCTGGCACCCCCTTTTGGCCTGCAGGCAGAACACTGTATACATAATTAATCAATTAACAATCAATCAATCAACCAATTAGTTAATTAAAAAATACAAACATTTTTAAAAATTATTTTTATTACTATTAATTATGTGTGTGTGTCCATACTGGCTTATGTGCATATGAGTACGGTACCCTCAGAGACCAGGGGCATGGGATACACTTATAACTGGAATTGTAAGTGGTTGTGAGCCACCTAATACAAGAGCTGGTAATGCAAACCAGGTCTTCTGTAAAAGTATCTCCATCCCTGAAAAATACAAAATGATTAAACAAGAAAAAGACTCTATAAACCGGGAACTAATATTTCCTTCAGTTTTTCTTTTTATTTTACATTTTTAAAATTACATTTTTTTTTTTTTTTTTTTTTTTTTTTTT